AACCACTGCATAGTCCTAAAGTGACAGTATGGGCAGCAATCTCTGGTAGAGGAATAATTGGACCGTTTTTCTTTGAAAATGCGCGGGGGCAAAACGTCACTGTTAATACCGAACGCTATGTTGCGATGTTGGAAGGTTTTTTTGGCTCCAGAGCTTGAAAATTCAAGAATAGTGAATTCTAGGACTTGGTTTCAACAAGACGGAGCTACCTGTCACACATCAAATGACTCCATGGCGGTTGTGAAACAGATGTTCCCTGGCAGACTGATTTCGAAAAGAGGTGATATCCCATGGCCCCCACGTAGTCCAGACGTGACGCCTCCTGACTTTTTTTTGTGGGGATACCTCAAGAACAAAGTCTACAGTAATAATCCGAAAAACAACGATCAGCTCAAGGAGAATATCCGTGGTGAAATGGCAGCAATTACACCAGCATTACTGAAGAAAGTTTTCAATAACTTCCGTTTGCGATTAGAGGAGTGTCGTCGTAGAGAGGGTCATCATTTAGACGATGTTATTTTAAAAAAATAAACTTCAGTTATTTCTTAATAATACCTCAGTTTTATTTTAACTATACCTTTTGTATTTATTTTCTAATCAATATTTTAAATATGCACGTTCTATTGCGCCACCCTGTAGTTATTGTAGCACCTGATGATCAAAGCACCACATCTTGTCTTCAATAATTTAAAAGATAGGTTATCTAACGGGTTTTTGTATTTATGAAAACGAACGCGAAACTTATTTTTTTCTTTAAGTAAATGTTTTAATTCCTTAGAATACCACACTGGGGTCGTGTTAGGGGTAACAGGTGATACAGGTACAAATTTCTTAATCGCTGAATTCAGTATCTGATAGAACCTATCAATCATTAAGTCCACTGACGTGCATGTTCTAAACTCATGAGACCATTCAATCTTTGTTAAGTAATTACAGATGTTGTCGTAGTTTGCCTTATGAAATTTTTTTCGCAAGGAGTTTCTATTTAATTGTAATTTATGAAGAAATTCGTCAAAAACAGTGTGAAACTCCAATGGCGGGTGATGAAGGTCTATTTTACTAAGAGGTAGTGGTGGGGATGTGAGGTCGCTTATTGGTATATTAGTGAGAATTAGGTCCAAGACTTTATTATTATGGTTGGCTATAAAGTTGAGTTGATGTAAGTTGTTAAATGACATAAACTCTAAAAGATCATGCGAGGTTACACAATTAGAACTTATATTAGGCGTCAACGGATATCCAGGAGTACCAGTCCACTCAATACTACTTTGATTAAAGTCCCCACAAATCAGGACCCGGTTATATTTACTTATAATTATGTTTGCATTATTACAAAAGTGTTCAAAGTGTTGTTTTGAGACGGGCGGTGAAAAATAAACAGTGCATAGTAACAATTTTTCAATATTTTTATCCACTACGACTTCGATTTCGATCCACAAATCCTCACAATTACTTTCAAAGTTTCTCAAAATGCATGATTTAATTCTTTTCGATATGGCCACCAAAACACCACCACCACCCTTTTTACGTTGTAAAGAGCTCGTTTCACGGTCGCGTCTATAAACATTGTAATTACTCGTAAACAACTCAGAATCAGTGATACAAGTGTTAAGCCACGTCTCATTGAGAATAATAACATCGTACTCGCAACTAGCTGTGTTAATATATAATTCATTCGTCTTTGTACGTAGACCTCTCACATTTTGGAAATAAAAATTTAATTTAGATGAGAACATTAAACTATGATATTTAAGGACACATTAATGTAAAAAATCAGTATTTTTTAAAATTATAATTAATAATATTAAAGTTTTTCTAGCACATTCGCGTTACGCACAAATATAGCTTCAGACGTCTCCGTCTTGCGAAGATAAACTCTGCCACCACGAATCCACACGTACTTGTAGCATTTTTCTCTCGCCATTTTGGGTGCTGCGGCGTGAAGATGTTTATTTTCTGGGGATAGATTCTCCGTGACGTAGATAGGGCTAACCCTAGTAGAAGAAATACCGAGATGTCCAGTATTAAGTTTATTTTCAGGATTTTTTCTGTTAAACTCAATAGCAGCCGCGAGAAAACAGTCTCGGATTCGTGGTGAGTTCAACCTGATCAAAATTGAACGAGGTCTAGGGCTATCAGATTGTAGCTTAGCAGTGCGAGAGCAATAGATTATGTCCTTCTCATTCACGTTGAAATTAATTGTTTTACTCAGTTCTTGTACTATAGTTAATAAGTTTTCGGCTTTACGTTCGGGAACGCATTGTAGTTCCAAATTGGACGAGCGGGACAGCTGGTCGAAAGTATTAAAACGTAATTTTAATGCATGTAAATCAGATTTGAGGGCCTCATTTTCTCTTTGTAAAATCAAAATATCTGAATTTGTAACTGATAGGTCTTTCTTGAAGCTGTCAAAGTCCCCACTAATAAATTCTAAGGATTTTTTTAATTCGTTGAAGTCGTTCAAAATTTCAGACATTTGCACTTTGATAGTATTTTTAAAGTCAATCATGCATTCAGCCATAAGATCTTTCATTACCCCGCGCAGCTCATCGCGAATAATTTCACGAATATTTTGCGCGCCCGTATCGGAGGTAGATGATAAATGTTGATTCGAGTCGCTATCGGCTCGGCCATGCAACTTACGTCGCGTACTTATAAAGGTCATATCAGCCATTCCCGTGGGCGTAGATGGCCGCACAGGTTTACATGAGTTATCATTTTTTGGTTGTTTAGTTTGACATATAGGGCACAGCCAATTCTGTTGAAAGTCTCGAGGCGCATTATCCAGATCGCATTTAGTTAAGTTAATGCATAAGAGATGAAAATTACCGGAGCAACGATGACACTTCATAAAATAGTCATCGGTAATCGCATCAGGACAAGCCGCGCAACGTCTCATTTTAGTTTTATTGTGCACTCACGAATTTCGTACGCCAGAAGGAGCAAGCAATTAATGATGTTGTTCCTTACCGCAGCGGTGAGGTGCTCCCCCCGCTAGCACCTATCGACCGTGACCTTCAGAGAACACTATTATACTAATATTTTTACTTAAATCACTGCACTCAATAATCGCAAATAAATGTTTGATATGTTGGGACTATAGGAACAATACTTGTATGCACAGATATTCGATATTAATTGATATTATATATTAAGATATTGAGCAGCCAAAAAACACGTCCGCTCCCAACTGTAGTATTAGTTATTATGTTATATAAAAAATTTAAATAATTTAAATAAAAAAATTAAATAAAATTATTATGTTATATAAATAATATAAAAGTTGTCTCAAAACCTACATATGGTAGGGTGTAAGCAACTATTAAATTTCAAGGTCAAAAGTTACAAAAATCCATATGTAGGTTTTGAGACAACTTTTAGGGTGTCAATATACAAGTATTTACAGACTTACAGCTGGGTATCTCGAATTCCGAGGTGAACTTACTATAATGACTGGACTACTATACATACTTATTCTTTGTCTGGGAACTAAGAGTTTATGTGTATTTCTTTCTAGTCACACATTTCAGCACCACTTTAAGGTAGACAAGGAGAAAATGCCTGTGGCATTAGGTCCGCCATTGTACAACTCAAGAAAAGAGCGTACTCCTTCCTAAAAGGTCGGCAACGCGTTTGTGACTCGAGTTGCAGACGTTCATGGGCGGAGATGGTCACTTTCCATCAGGTGACCCGCCTGCTCGTCTGCCCCCTCTAACATAAAAAAAAATCTCTTACTTGTGCATAAATAATAAAAATAAAATAATTATATGTATTTATAACAGTTGTCTTGTAGCCATAGTACAAGCTCTGCTTAGTTTGGGACTAGATGGCGTTGTGTGAATGTAGTAGAATATTATTATTAATAATTAAAAAATTAAAACCATTTACAAATTTCAAATTCAATGTCTTATTTATTTCATTAAATTGATCACCAGTCGGAATCGTACATTGTTTTTTTATACATGCTTATAATTAAGTCATAGATCAATACAGACAAAGACAGGATGCTTTGTCAAATATAGAAATACTAAAAAAAAAGAAACTTTTGCTGATTAGAAAACAATAATACTCCTAGCACTTAATCAATATCTCACAGTGAGTACTTTTCTCCTAGAGTTAGCAAAATTTGGAATTAACATCTATTAGCTTATACCTTTTAGGTCTTATATTAAAAACAATTATTCATAATAAAAGCCTTTTTATTTAGCAGAGACATAAATGTAAAGTTTAACATCACATTTAAATGAGAACGCTCTTAACGCCATTTTACTTCAACTGATAACTTAGACACGAAACAACAAAAAAGTTTTGACAGTGACAATATGTGTCAGGCAAAGCAAAGAGTATTTTAACTCAGACAGGGTTTTTTTAAATCATATACGAGGAAAACTTAACAATATCCGAATCTTGGAAAAATAAACCTATTGGGGAGGGAATAATTTTGTACCTAGTCATGAGATCTGAAGGAATGGTATCTTTCAACTTAAAATTGTAATATTAAATAAAGTTTGATATGTAATAAACGGAATAAAAACAATTTCGAGTTCATAGTCATTACGAACTGTGCGATGGTTCTCATTTACAATACTCGTATTTTGACTTGAGATTAACTTGGGTTGAAATGCCCCATTCTAAAAATAAATTTAAATCATTCAAATCAATTATAACCTGATAATAAACTGCCTATTCCATACATATGTATGTTTCACAAAAACTTCGACAGTGCTTAGGGATGGGTCACCCTTACCATTTAGGGGTATGAAAAATAGATGTTGGCCGATTCTCAGACCTACCCGATGTGCACACAAAATTTCATGAGAATCCGTCAAGGCATTTCGGAGGAGTACGGGAACGAACATTATGACACGAGAATTTTATATAAGATTTATTCATAAAACTATGACTGACTGGGCTTTTTATATTGAACTTAAACCCAACCAGTAATATGCTAAGCTGGGGCAGTAACTAGCACATTTTATCAATAATCTCCATGTTCTATATTAATTCATTTTAGTCTGATTGGATGCAAGTCGATCGTCGATATCGATATCTATCGTTGTTTCAACTACTCTTAATGTCACGTCATCAGAACTATTCTGTACAATAGTACTTCTGACTGCATCTGCTGTATTGTTGAGATGCACCTCTGCATCAGTACGAGACTGCAGTTCTTCCACACTCTGCCCTTTGTGTACCTTCGGTATTTCATCTGTATTGTTTAATGTTTCAAGGCATGTGGAATAAGGCGGAGGTAGTTCCTCAGAGTTATCATCGGAATTTTTATTGATGACCTCATCATTGTTGGAGACGCACTCAAAATATGGTTTCGGTAAATCTGAATGGCTGTCACTCTGTGGTGAACATTCTGAGTTGTCTAACAATCTGAAAGATCCATTGTCACTGTTATTTTTTTGTGCTGAAAGAAAAACAAAATTGTTTTCGCTAATTGTTACACTTACTAGTACTTAGATACTTATCTAGATTATTTTGTGTTATTTATTTTGTTAGTTGTCAGTGAGTTAGACAAGGTATTTATTCTCGATTATATAGGTTTTTCATAAAATGAAACTAAAACGGACTATCCAATAAAATTTATGCTAAATTTAATCTTACAGAACAAGAAAAAAGTGTATGCACACTATATATGATTAAAGAACAACATGATTAATAAATAAAATAATAAATAAATAATAAATGATAAATTTCTTATGTAGTTAATTGGGTGGAATACGAACCTGAAACCTCTAGCTGCAAGTCCGCTTACCTATTAATTCGTCGTGACTGCTATGCCAGAGGCCGTGGGTCCCATTCCCACCCAGGACAAAAAACTGTGTGATGAGCACGATCATTTGCTTTGTGTCTGGGTGTAATTTATCTATAATGTGTACTAGTGATGTAACGAATGTAAGACTTCTGACATTCGCGAATGCTGTTGCGAATATTCATATCAAATATTCGCGAATACGAATGCAAGTGCGAATGTTGATTTTCAAAAAAGCGCGCGCAAAATGTCATCGAATGTGCCATAATAAAGTCGTGGTAGCCACGTTAAAACCGAACGTAGCCCAACCAGCCCTAGCTTTGATAGGTTGAATGAACGGAGCTATATAGTCACATTAAGTTCTTTCTGAGACGTTATGATTTGAGATTAGTTTAGTATTTGACGGTTTTAAGAAAGCATAAATTTCAATAAGTAAGTGATATAAAAACATGAGTAAAGCCCGTTTTACCGAAGTTTGGACTTATTTTACAATTTGTGTCACTGAAAGTGAATCTTTAAAGTTAATTAAAAATTATAAATCATAACAGTTATTCCTAATGCGGGAGTTGTCTTCAAAAAAAAAAAGTTGTATTATCCTTCCAGATCCATCTAGTCCACATAGTTATAATTTCCTTTTTGTTGGTCAAATACATTTGCTAAACATTCGCTTCGTTTCTTGCGAATACGAATGCGGATGGCAAAAAATATGCGAATATTCGCGAATGCGAATGCGAACATTCGTTACATCACTAATGTGTACGAGTCAAGTCATTATCAATGTTTAATTATTGTCAATTACTTACGGTTTGCAGGCGAAGTGTTTGATGAATCCCGCTTTCCTGCCAAACAATTAATTAACAATCACTAAACATAAGAATAATGACGTCTCTTCGTGCTTTACTTAATAGAGACAATATGATGGATATGTACCGATGATGTCTCTGCCCTAGTGACTCTAATCAGAAAGAGATGCAACCTTATGTTCTCAGAGTTTTAGATCTGTTTACCATCCGAGAATAGCTGTGGGAGAGCCAGGCTCGTCGGCATTCGAATGCACGGATGGCGTAGTGGTTTAAGCGGTCGCCACGCCGCTCACTACTACGCTGAGTGTTGTGGGTCCGATCCCCACATGGGACGACACTTTGTGTGATTCAAAAATTGTTGTTCTGAGTCTGGGTGTTATTTGTGTCCGTTTCATGTATGTTTGTAAAGTCCCCCGCGACACAGGATTTATACCTGGTGCGGGAGTTGTCTTTAAAAAAAAACTGGAAACTAGAATATGGGCCAGGCTCGACCGCTTCACACACGGCTTCACAGAAAACAGAAGGCAATTCTCGAAATATAAGATCGGTCACAATTCAATTACGCTCAAAATTAGATCTCACAACAGGCTAGGTGACTCAATTTGAAAACTTTTTAAATTATATACTTTAATATCTATTTATCCCAAAAAACCTATATTTTAAAGAAAAACAATATTTACATTACTTATTTTGTATTTTTAAAAAACAATTTAAATTTCCCTTGAAAACGCTGAATAGTGTCATGTCGTCTGGAATGACGTCACAGTCTGCGAAATAAAACTGTTTACATCTGTGTCCAGTGTCAACTGTTTTCTAGAAATAAATAAGCTGCTCTGTTGAATGAACGTACGTCTAATAGACTGGTTTTTTCTTATCTATAACCCTTCTTTTATTATTTGAAACTATAAACCAAGGAATTTGTTATTATTATGGACACTAGTCATAAAAGGTATTTTCGTAGTGAAATAGTAAATTCAAATTAATGTAGCTTTTGCCCCTTTTTACCCTGCACAACTAATCTGTGGAACAAGTTATCGTCTGCGATATTTCCGGACCGATACGACCTTCAAGAAAAGAGCGTACTCCTTCCTCAAAGGCCGGCAACGCGCGGCGGCAGCAGTCGCTTTCCATCAGGTTAACCGTCTGCTCTCCCCTCTTCCATAAAAAAATACGTTCTACTCACCGCACACCATCATTAAACAACACCAAACAACGACGGTACAAGGTGATATCCACCAGGTGGACAACGGCGTGAGTTTATGGTTCAGGGTGCTCACATCAATTGTAGGTACTTTAAAGGCAGGCTCCTTAAAATGTACCTGAAAGAATGAAAACATGAAGAATGAATTGTAACATACACTTAAGCAGTTTAAAAGTTCCAAGTTTATCCTCCAATCGCAGGACCTACAGAAGGATACGTGATACCGATCTCTCTTCGATCTACTGCAGGTTTAATCCCTTTTCTCTTCAGAGAACTGCGGTACCCTTACCCTGGTTCTCATGACCTTGACCTATTCGGTTTCCTCACCTTACCACAACTTACTTTCTCCCTTGTTCCGCCTTAAAACGATGATATTCTCAAAGAGAGTTGACATCAAGTAGACGACTGGTCATTAAAGAAACCAGTCAAAATGGTTTACAATTTTGCACTTTACGTCGACCCGCAATAAAAATGGAAAAACGGCAGAAACGTGATGACATTTTAGTTACTATCTTTTGCCGCGGCTAAGCCCGCGTAAATGTCGGTTGTCAACGACTTCACAGTATCAACGACTTCATTGAGTCTATTTTATAATGAACTACCTTTTGCCCAGTAAAATAAATAGTCAATGTCCTTCCTCAAGAATTAAACTATCTCCATATAAAATTTCATCTAAATCGGTTAAGCGGTTATTGATTCCCTATACAAACTTCCACCCCCTTTTCACCCCCTTAAAGGATGATATCCGGTATACTACCCTATGTGCCCTCCCGGGACTCGGACTATCCCTATATGAAGAGGTAACAGACAGACACACTTTCGCATTTATAATATTAGTATGGAATATTAGTGTAGAATATTAGTGTGGAATATTAGTGTGGAATATTAGTGTGGCATATTAGTGTGGAATATTACTGTGGAATATTAGTGTGGAATATTAGTATGGAATATTAGTGTGGAATATTAGTATGGATGTCTATGAAAAACCCAACAATAGACTAACATTGAACAGTGAGGAGAAATCCCTGAAGTGGGTCCGATTGTAAATCCACGAGTCGTCCTCATGATTCCAGTGTGAAACGTTAAACAGTGATCTTAATCTGAAATTTAATAAAAAATAATGTTAATATAAAAACAATTTTTGCTAAACTAAGTAAAAACCATGGAGTTTGGGCAACTTGCGAGTATATGGGCATGGTTAAGATCCTATAACTAACTTAAACCGTTAACAACTTTAAGAAATTTCAATTCCAATATTTATTTTAAAGTGACCAATTGAATTTAAAATTGACCGATAAAGCTAAAATATTGTATCATCAACAGCTTATAACAAGCCACCGTTTGACGTAGCATCTCCTTAGAATGGAGGTTCAGTCCTATTATACCACACTGGCCAGACGGGTTCGTATAGGGTTTGTTTCAAGTTTTCCTTCTCTTTGCTGTGTTGTTGTCCTATATTAAAAATATATTCATAATATTGTATAGACGGTCGATATGAACGAACCATGGGAATGTTACACAAAAAATGTTGATGGAATATCCAGATTCTTTTTAAATGTATAATTTATTTTTATCATTCATTTCCATCATGGAAATTGGACTCCTCATCTGATCACTCATAATAAATTATTTATGTTCAAATATATTGGAATGCTTAAATGCAATGCTTAAAAATATGCGTCAGTATTGCACCACTATCCGGCTATATACCAGATAATCTTTACAAATAAGTGTCGGTTTGTAATGTCAAAATAATAGTTTTTTTTCATGCTCACACGGTTATTTACACGATACCTAACCTAAAAACCTATTTAAATATTTTTGTCTGTCTGTCTGACTCTTCCGGACCGATTTTAAAAATAATTTGACTACCAGGCAGCTGTCTATATAAGGAGAAACTTACGCTATTTTGCCTCTCAGAAAAAACCCTATAAAATTTTATCCGGTCCGGGTATCCAACCCGAGGCGTCATGGAACGCAACGCTTTTCAAATTGCACGCGAACGAAGTCGCCGATACCTGTTAGTTATTAAATAAAAATCTATCTACTTCATAGTAAATATTTTAAGCATTATCACACCTTCGAAGTAAGTAAAATATAGAGAATTGTTATCACCTGTTTGTGGAGTTCATAGTCATTTTCGGCAAGTGTTACACGCACGCCCACCGCTACGCAAGTTCACAACACAACTGGTTCATGTATGGCCCACAGTGGGGCAGCACGGTGAACAAATGTGTGCTATAGGATTATTTTTGTTTATTTGTTTTAGTTTACGTCTTGTGTTTTTATGACGCAATAGCATTACTTTTGCTTATTCAATCTTTTGGGTTTATGGTACAGGTGGCAAAAGGAGCAGACGGTTCACTGGACGGTAAATGACTGCCTGCCTGTGACTGCCGCCGTTCATGAACACCCGCAACTTAAGACGCAGTACTCCTTCACCAAATAAGAGGGGAAGGGAAGGGGGAGGGGGGTCATTTACTCGAACCGTATGTGCCAAAACATGCCAAAAAAATTCAACTCAATGGAACTTCCAATGAGATAATGAAGCTGTATTTTTTAGACGATGACCTAAAGTTAAAAATGTGTTACGCTATACCGAAGATATTCAACAATAATACGTATCTATAAATTTTTACCGTTTCTGTCAAAATAATAGCTTTATTTGCCCGCGACTTCACTCTCGTTAGTGTCGATTTTGACAATCTATTGTTTCTTGATAAAAAGTAGCTTACGTGCTATCCAAGACTATAGAATATACCGCCTATACCGTAGCCGGGGAACCAGGTGTATCCTAGGAAGGAAATCCCTGGAACCCCGATGGACCACGGGCCATCTATAGTCTATATATCCCTCGTGTGTGGGAATAGCTATACCCATCGAAAATCTATTAGCTATATGCCTGTGCCGATCTACGTTTCCAAGAGGCTCCTAGAGGCACTTTTTTTTAGTGAATCTACTTACTGGTGACCTAAGAAGTTTACAAGAGCTCCGGCAGAGCTTGGCTGCCTCTTCAACAGACGAATTGCCAAAACATTTATTTATTTATTAAAAACAATTACAGTGTCTTTACAGGATTTATCCCAAAACGATACTGTAAGTAAAAACAGTAAGTAACAGTTATTTATACATAAAAATCATTTGCTGTAATACATCTCCGGGCGACTTCTTTGAAGTTCGGCAGGCTACAGTTCACTTTATGTGAATCATCATTCATAATTGCATCCACTTACAAATCTCGTATTGTATATGTATCACTTACTATCTTGCCTTTGTTGCATTTAAAGTAAACAATTTCTATGAATTAGTTCTTGTTACGAATCAAGCTGTTAATAGCAAGGTTATTTTCTCTTCTAGTAAACAGATTCGATTCGTGATTCCATTATATATCATCAGATAATTTATGAATGGGGAAGTAGGAGTCAGGGACCTGGTCGACCAAATCGGACAAGACCTGTCCCCGCCAGCAATGATTGCTGCCGTGCTGGTGGGTGAGGATTGATTGGGCGCAGTGGTCTCTTTCTGTGAAGCTGTAATGCTCCAGAAAAAGACCGCTGGGACAGAAAGACGGGGTCGCAGGCCGCCAGAGATCCGCCACAGCAGTCAATCTGCCACAAGAGGTTCCCACCTCTGGTGGCAGATTGACTGCTGAGGTAGGGGATAGGATGGCGGCCTGATTGCATTAAGACGCAATTGGGCCGCCACGTCGCGATTGAGGGGGTTGGGGAAATGTTTTTCCCTGGGATAGGGCCTGATTAGGCATGGTGTCAATTCGGGGACGACCTGAAATAACATGTTCCGATTCCTCCCAGAGTAGGGCCGTAGGGTAGGTACCTAAGGCCAGCCGTCGGGGTGGCTTTTAGTGGAATCACTATATGGTGACCACATAAAAAGGTACTCTATTTTATTTTTTGAGTATGTACTCCTGGTTCCTGAGTCCTCAAAGAGCGGGAGATCCGAAGGGTTTTTCCGCCCCGTCAACAAGAAAAATAATAAAGTATATTTTTGGTGGCCTCAGGTATCAGCATACACAACATTGTCGAATTTTGCCGGTGCGTTATCTAGAATTTATGTCCCACGGTTATAACTTCCCAGAACTAGCGGTACGCAGAAAGCAAACAGCCAGCTTGCTAAACTTCTAGAGGAATCAAATGTCAGTACAAAGTTAATGTTTAAACGTGTAATTATATCCGACTGCGATCAATTTATTGTTTGTGAAACGTCTACTAATGGGGCACGCCCCGATTTGCCTAGAGATTTTAATCGCATAGCTTTTGATGCAGTATATAATTTAAAGCATCCTGGTATCCGAGCTAGTAGAAATCTAATTAAAGACAGATATTATATTTCAGAGTTCAAAATCATACCGTATCAGACTTAGGACACCGGTCCTACTATATTTATTTGGATATAGTAGGACCGCTGAGTACAACCGCCGAAGGTTATAGGTACCTTAGTCAAAGTCAAGGTATTTTATTGTGGACCATAGGTAGGTACATAAGATGATTACAAAATATTAAGGTCATCTATGTCCTGCCATTTAGGCATACAATAAACAGTAATAGTACTTGGAAAGAGATTATGAATTATTTAAAAATGAATGCAAGTGTAATAACAGAAACAAGAAATTACAAAATATTTAAAAAAAAACAGTAAAATTGCAAATTAGTGATTATACATTACAATCAATTAATACATTATGTGTTTGTCAGGAACATTACACTTTTTTTTTTTTTTTTTTTCCGTGCGGAAATCCCCTCGGATACCACCTGTCGGTGGCATGTCGGACTCGAACCGACTAAAACCGCACGCCGTCTCGGGTACTAATAGCCGGGGAACCAGGTATACCCTAGAAAGGAAGTCCCTGGTGCAGGAACATTACACTCAACTAATTAAAGCTCGAAGGTACCTACTACCTACACTACTACGCCATCCGTGCAGTCAAATTGATAGTTATTAACCTGTAAAGGGAATTAATAATTCACCCAATAAGGTATTGATACATTAAGACATATACAGCAGCGATTAAGCGTTCCTTAGAAACTATATGGTAGGTACGGAAACCGTTACAATGTCCTTATCACGGACCATACTGCGTTATCAGTAGTACGACAAAGTAACAGGTAACAACAGGTACAAAAGTATACAGTTACCTGGCAGACAGTTGCTATTAATAGATTAAAGCCAAAGTGTATAATAGAAGATAATAGTTTACAATAAAATATATCAGATAACATAGATGATTGCATAAAAAAACCAGTGTCAAAAACCGGTTAAAACAATTCAGCTTCCAACGAACGAATCCAGGTGTTCGAAGTATGTTACACGAATAGGGCGACTCAGCAAAAAATCATCACATTATTTGTAATACGAGTATGTAACTGTACACTTGAAGTCATCCTTGTGTTGTTCAACAACTGACTCTAACTGTGAACAGTCTGGTCATCATATAACCTGGGAATGTAGACTTTGGTATAATAAACGTAGTATAATGCTGAATAGCTTACAGGTGACATCTGGGGAGGTATACTAAGGGGATCTTGTGTCAACTATTCATTCGAACATTCTGTCATACAAATTATAGAAATCAAATATAGCTCACTTAGGACCCATAATATTTTGTGGCCGTGGTGCTTCCCTGTTTGAAAGGGTGACAAGGGTGTGCGCCTATTTTACTTTATTTTGTCTCCCGCTTTGCTAAGGATCAGTGGATTTATTAAATTACCAACTCCTCTCATTTTCTCCTAAATGATTTCTTTGCGGGTTCCAAGACAGTTTATTTTTTCCTGGGACTTCCCGAGTGACATAACTTAGCGTGTTCGTAGGTCACTGCTGTTGATTCTGCTGTACAGGAGTTACAGCGGTGGGCGTGTCAGAGCGTTTAGTCCCATTAATAAATACAAAAGTAAAAAAATAAGTTGAAAATATTTATTCCTTTATATCATTTATTACTTCGACGTATACAAATACCGTACGGTTGAAATAACTCAGTGCCTACAATAAAGTTAGGGTTTGAGTTTTAATTAATAGATACGAGGCAAAATAAAGTGTATAAACGGTAAAAATATCCTATTTATGTTATATTCATATTGAACGATGACGAATTGTGAATATAATATGATATATATATTTGTTGACCCCCTCTCCGGGTCGTTCCTGGTGCCAAGATTGGCCATTGCCACTCAACGCGGCAATGCAGCTAGTGTGATGGGCACCTTTCCACCGGATACGATCAGGGACGGGTTAATTTAATTAAAACTCTGTTTGTGTAGATTTGCTCTTTCTCATGCCTGTGTCTGTAATATTGTTTTTATTTATTTACTTTTTGTAAAGTAAATTTATAAGTATGTAATGTAAATAAAATGAAATCACATCACATCAACAGCCTTTAATAGTCCACTGCTGGACATAAGCCTCTCCTTAGAAAGAAGGTTTTGGCCTACTACACCACGCTGGCCAGACGGGTTGGTATAGGGTTTGTGTCAAGTTTTCCTTCTTTTTGCAGTGCTGGTGTCCTGCTTGGTTTTGCGCCCTTAGTCGGCTCTTACGACACCCACGGGATGAATTGGGGTAGTGACATTCAATAAAATGAAAACATTTCTTAAAATTATTCTATAATAAAAATTTAAATTACTTTATTGCGAAAAGGTACAATGATTATTGTGATATAATAATGGGGCATATCTTCTCCATTATCAGCCTCTCGGCATGCAATACTTAACATTTTATAATTACATGCTTTAGGAATCTAATTACAACATTCTTCATATTCAGAGATTTGAAATTGTCAATATATTTATAACTATAAACTGAATGAAAAGATATGCATTTTGTGTCAGTTGAGAACAGAATGTCACAATCGCAGATAAAATAATTATTATGTACAGTCCAACAGAAATTGTTTAACCTTATTTTTTAAATTTATAAAACACATAATTTTTGTTAAGCGTTTAGGTAGACGGTTATAGACTCGTGGCGCCATGCACACACACTCCGATCGATCAAAGCTTTTTTATGTTGAGTCCTCAGCATATTTTGAAATTGGACGCTCCTTTTTATACTTATCAAACATGTTTAGGTTACCTCTGACAAATAATAACAACTCATAGACATACAGACAGGCTACGGTTAGTATTTTCAGTCTATAGGTAATATATCCTCTAAATAATACAAAAATATCGGTCGTTGCATTGCAATATCCTTAAACTAGTTGGCTTTCAAAAGTTATAATCTACTTACATAAATATTAGGAGGTACTGCATCATAAATTAAATAAGTTAAGTGGTTTAACATCCATGATATTTAAATTAAATAACATAAGAATAAAATAACAGTAAGTAAGTATTTGGATAACAAATAAACAAGAGTATGACTGGGTCACAAACAGCAAATATTTTAATGTGGCCACAGGCGTTCGTTGAAGCTTTGTAAATATTTAAAATAATTCGCTACAAGCATAACAAAAAAAATAGAAAAATATTACACATAGCTATAAAACAAGTATGATTATTATTATCTTAAAAAGACAACTCCCGCATTAGGAATATATCCTGTGTCATGGGGGACTTTACAAACATACATGAAACGGACACAAAGAACACCCTGACTCAGAACAAAAATTTATGGATTACACAAAGTGTCGTCCCATGTGGGGATCGGACCCACAACATTCGGCGTAGTAAGCGGCGTGCCGACCGCTTAAACCACTACGCCATCCGTGCAGTCAAGTATAATATTAAAACTTAATAACTATAATAATAATATTAAAACTTATATAATCGCTAGTTACATACTAGCGATTCTCCCCGGCTCCGCACGGGTGCAATGTAGATACTACTGATACTACTAATGTCAGTGTCAGTTGAAATAACCAATTATTTTTTTGTAATATTTAAAAGATAAAAATGGTTACTGTGGGTTATTCTTAGGAGATAGACATACATATACCATCGCAGACTTTTTTATAGATTTTTTTAAGATATACAATTCCGTAGTACATTATTTTAATATATCTCGTAAGGATTAGCAAGCGTTTGCAATGTAAGTGCAAACATGTTTTGTGCAACAAATCTTTGCAAGTTTCGGGTTTTGTCTACTATAATATGCATGTATTATATATATAATATAGTTGGCCCAAAAGCCCTTTCTAAGGAGAGGCTTATGTCCTGCAGTGGACTATTAAAGGCTGTTGATGTGATGTGAATTACTCCACACTGACACCACATTAGTAGTATTTGTAGTATCTACATTACCCCCGTGCGAAGGCGGCGCGGATCGCTAGTGTGTTTTAATTAACAACAATTTTCAATTTCAGAGGTAGTATTTTTTTTCATCAAATTGAATTTGACCGAACGCGAACTATTTTGTTTTGTTTTTATTTAAAAAAAAAAAAACAAAATAGTTGTGAGCCAACAACCATGAATATGTAAAAAAATATTTGGTTCCGGTTAAGATTGTGGTAAATTGTAATGTTGTATAATTTAGTTAAGAAACTTGTAAATTAACGACTTATTCATAATGTATGACTAGGCCCTTTGACAAAAAAAAATCTACCGAGAGCAAATTTAGCTACTCGGCCTCGGTAGAATTTTTGCAGCATTTTCTTCATCTGTTTCATTAGTATTTGCAATAAGATTAATATTAAACTCATCAATGTCTATCGCTGTTTCAATTGTTCTATTTAAAGGCCTTGTGTTGCTATCTAATTGTTCAGGGTTATTTCTGTGTGTGGTATGTAAGTTGTTGAGATGTATATCTGTTTCAGTACATGACTGTTCTTCCACACTCTGTCCTTTATGTACCTTCGGTATGTCATTTGTAGCGTTCAATGTATCGATGCATGTGGAATACGGAGGTGGTAGGTCCTCGGAGGTGTTATCAACTATTTTATTGCCACCTCCAACTGCACACTGCGAGTACAAAGGTGGTAGATCGGAATGGAAATTATTCTGGGTAGAAAATTCTGGATCGATTATGATTGGTGATGTTGGTGTAGGGACAGGTGGAGGGTTAGGTGGAGGGCCAGTTTCGTTCGTTTGTTGCGCTGAAATCAGAGAATATATTAAGGCAGGCAATTTAATGGGATGTTATACATTTTAGGTTCGTGATCTCAAATATATAAGAGAACGTGTAGACGAAAATACTTCATTTTATATTTTTAGTTTTAATGTGTGAATTCCAACGAGTAAATGCTATCGATATAACATGATTTGCTGTGATTAGAAACAAGTTATGTTCGTATAATTAACATATTGTATATTATTGCATATTTTTCCTTAAATACTTACGATCTGTGTCAAAAACACTCGGTCTTCTTTCCTCATCTGAAGACTGTCTTCTGGAGTTGTTCACTATTCTTTGTACACGATAATCTGAAATATAAAAAATGAATAATCTAGTTAGAGGTGTGCAAACATTCTCTGACTCCTCTATCGGCCGGACTAAACAGGATTTTCTCCGGTCTAGCCGGTGCGGTTCCTTTTTTTATTTTTGACATATAAATATATATGTACATACATATTTAGTGGAGTAAAGGAGAACCATCTCTGTTTATGAAATAGCGTCCGTCAAAAGTAGTCAAATCATTTTGCCGCCACGGTACCAAGTTGTTTTAGTATGACAGTAAATTGAACAACATAAAAAAAAACCCGCTTTGTTATATCATACTTATCAATACAATTACATAGGCAAACTTCGACATTCAATGTCGAAGTTTGCCTATGTAATTGTTTCGTCGGCGGCAGTCGTCGTCCGACTGCCGCGTCACTGCCACACGAATGAAAGTTGTATATTTACAAGCCCACGCACTCATAGGGCCGCGCGCACAACTGAGTTGAACTATCTTAATAAAAATGTTTATTTCATCTCCACAAATTACATTTTGTTTTATATTTAACAATTGACAGGAAAACTGTCAAAAAATTTGCAATTTGTGGGAGATCTGGAGTCTAAACTAAGCCGAGGCCTGTACTATAGATCTCCAGGCCCCCCATTACATCACACTTAGCAGATTTGTCAACATGTCAAAAGCGTACTAGAGTGTGTGAATGAGTAAACAGTAAAAGGATTTTGCATTAAAAATATATATACTATAATATATATAATTTTATAATATATATAATTAATTTAAAAAATAATCTAATATATTAGCACTATTCCGGTCGGTTCTAGAACCATTACTGGCTGCTTTTTAGTGGACATTTTTAAAGTTACATTCAGGATAGTGCTCCTTTAATAAAAAAGGTGGGGAAAAGGTGGGGGAAGCTAGGGCATCTCCCGGGATAGGACCTAGGTCTTAGGCCTCCCAAAGTTGAATGCCTGAGGCCGTACGGTGTTTAGAGGAAACACCACATACTTCTAACTCCTACTCCAAGGCGCTGGTCATCCAAATGAATTTTTCACACCGTTAACAAAAAGATGTCTAATTGGTAGTAGACCATGGCCCCAAAATCAATGATCCGCCCCTACTCATAGCTATTGATCACGTCGGGGTCTTTAAAGGTACTCGTTATAATAATGACCTCGCAGTCACACTTAAGATCAGGCTTCTTGGGAGCCACGAAACAAAGATACTTCGAGCCTAATTGTGATCAAATTAATTAGTCATCTGTGGTAAAGTCTTTGGACATCGCCTTTAAAGTCGCCTCGCTCCCAAGTGCGAGGCCGTGGGCGACGGCTCACTTGACCAACGGGTAGCTACGCCACTGACTGGTGGATACCACCCTCACTAGAAATAGCCAAGGGAATTAGGTGGGCAGGAAACTTATTTTCTACTTAAAAAAATTATTTTCTACTTACAACACGAAATTATTTTAAGTACAACTAGGATACAGCAAACAATTGTGGGTGCTGACAGACAGTACTTCCATGTGGGTGTTTTCATCATCACCACTTTTATCTTGGTCGGTAATGGAATCTGGAAAAGGAAATAGTCTCGTAAGTAAATACTAAGAATCGTCGTTAAAGGTCATAAACACAATTATTAAGACCTTTTTATTAAAAAAATATTAAGAACAACAATTATTAAGAATTATAAAGATTTCACTAATTACAATAATTAAAGACAAACATACATCAACACAAAAAACAACACAAATAAAAACAAAGATAAAATCTAAATAAAATAAAAATCATTCCGCCTATTTCGGCCATCCATCCGCAAACAAATCACAGCCGGGATTGGCGCGTGCCAATCCCAGTTGTGATTTGTGAGCTGGAGAGCGTTGAGTGCAGAAGAGTGGGCGGTGTGGGTGACTTAGCGCGCGCCAATTTATATGTTGTTAGAATTAGTTTCTTGCACCGATGTTTTTGAGTCTATTGGAAATAATAAAATTGCGGATATTGCAGACCTTCGCGCTTCGCAACGCGCTCGCCGCCACCCCGGCCTGCTTCTGCTAGGGTGACAGATGGCCTCACCTGTCACCCCCAGGCCTGCGCTTGGATATTGCAGACCTAAGACAATGTATGTGTATGTTATAAATTCTTTATAAAATATAACTAGCTATCGCTCTCGGATGTGCTTTCTTAAATATATATAATCAAAAGTAGTTACGCCGTAGGGAAAAGTATTTTTCTTTCTACATCGAGGTGCCTTACGTCCGTTTCTGAACCCTTAAAAATATTTGCAAGATTTACCTTTCAACCCGAAAAAACTTCATAACCTGAAATCTCAACTAGCTTGACGTTACGCTTTTAAAGAGTATAAAATATTACAAGTTACTGACTTGGAGCAGAGAGGAGTAATCGTTGGTCAGGTTCGTAGAAGAAAGCCACGGGAAGTCCCTGTTAAGCAAGTTTGTGTCATTAAACAAGTCTTGAAATCTGAAAAAAGATATAAAATAAACTTTTAATATAATATATCTCACACATCTTACACACGGCCGTCTGATCCCAAACTAGGCAGAGCCTGTACTATGGTAACCAGACTGCTGATAAACATACTTGTATATTTTAAATACATACATATTATAGATAAATTACACCCAGACACAGAACAAATGACCGTGTTCATCACACAAATATTTGTTATGGGTGGGAATCGAACCACCGGTTTAGCAGTAGCAGTTAAATAAAAACTACTCATTCCCTATCAGTCTGTGGCTTACCCAGGGTGTATCAGAGAGGTGATCAAAACCCATGGGCGTTCCCCGGTTTTCTGTGAGACACTATTTGAAGATGATGAAGAAAGTAATACCTTTTATGTATAACTGCCCTATCGCGATCGCTGTACGAGTCGGTGCGTTCGTGAGTTCTGTTGAAATAGTGAAGAGTTGGAAAAGTGAAAGTGGGTGCGACTGATGGCCTGGCTGTCACATCCTCCTTCGTTGGAATTTTCTGTATATGTGCGTTGTCATAGGATAAAGGCGTTCTGAAACAGCACAAATAAAAACAAGAAATGAGAAATCATCAACATCATCATTCACAGCCTTTACTAGTCCACTGCTGGACATAGGGCTCTCTTTAGAATGGAGGTTTTGGCCTACTATACCACGCTGGCTGGCTGTTGGTCTAGTGGTTAGTGACTCTGACTGCTAAGCAGGAGGTTGTGGGTTCGATTCCCACCCAGGACAAATATTTGTGTGATTAGTTAGATCATTTATTCTGTCTGGGTAAAATTCATCTGTAATATGTATCTATTTAGAAATATATAAGTATGTTTATCGGCAGTGTGGTTACCATAGTACAGGCTCTGCCTAGTTTGGGATCAGACAGCCGTGTGTGTGATGTTATTATTATTATTATTATCCGACATCCACGGAAGAAATAGAGATGGTGACATACTTTATTGGCTATCCGTCACCACACGGTCATGTTATCGCAATATGTAGAATAGCTAATCTGTGAAATGTCTTTGGGAGTTTTTGTCTCTTCAACACAAGGCTTTCCTATATCACGGCTATCATGGTTATATACATATAAAGGGTTGGTAAGTTGTAGATCCAAAGTTTAGAAGTATATCTGTTGCAGTCAAAACTATCAACAGATTCTTTGAGTACTTTTAGTTAACAAATCAGTCTTCACTTTTGTCAAATATCAGGTTAGGGTACTTGGTTAGGTTAGATGATGTTATCTACATTCTAGTCTAACTGGTTAGAATTTAGGTGTAAAAAACAACAGTAATTTTGACTAACGCTACTTAAAAGTACTTGAAATACTTATTGCGTTAGGTTAGGTGTTTTAATTTATATTCCAATCAGTTAAAGGTTAGTTTGAGTGAAAAAACTAAAAAATTAAATAAATGTACTTTTGATCGTTTTATTTAAAGCTGTATTTAATATCACTTGTGTCATTCACGCAGAACAACAGCACTGCAGAGAGAAGGAAAACTTGACACAAACCCTTTTTTTTTTTTTTTTTTTTTTTAACGTGTGGAAATCCCCTCGGACCGTCACCCCTCCGGGGTTTGCGGCGGGGTGGTGTGTCGGACTCGGACCGACTAAAACCACACGGTGTGCCACTCTGCGCCTGTAACAGGAGGGATCCGGGAACAGCTGTTGTTAAGACATCCGGACCCCTCCTAGCGCCAGCCCGCTCCTGGTGCGGGCTCCGTCTCGATGTTGATGTTCCTCTCTTTAGGCGACGTCCGGCACACGCGGACGCCGCCCCCTCGCGGCTGGCCAAACAAATGCGGGTGGAGGGGAAACCCACCCCGTCCACCCGCGGCCACACTCAGGGCGGCATGAGGCTGAAACCCTATACCAACCCGTCTGGCCAGCGTGGTAGAGTAGGCCAAAACCTCCTTTCTAAGGAGAGGCTTATGTCCAGCAGTGGACCATTAAAGGCTGTTGATGATTGTGTAATTTGTGATTAATAGTGCTTATAATATAAATGTATTAAGGTTTACTATTTTCTTCCTACCTCACTCCTGTGTCACAGACACCGGAGTTTCTCTATTATTACTCACAAAACTATTTCTACATATGTATTGTTTTTAAATCAGACCATCAATAATAATATTAGACATATTTAATAAGTCTTTTACAATATATAAGCTTACAGTAAAAATAATATATTATTATGTAATTAAAATGTTTACAACATTTACACTATTTACAAACAAGCATTAAAAAATTCCTTCGCATCATTTTGGTAATTGGCAAACCTATTTCATAACTTAACTGAACTTTTTCAACATTCACAAACAATAAAAAGGAAAGTTTTAGTAAAGTTTAGGAAGGTATAATTATAATAAAAAAAAAATAATTATACCTGGGCCTTTTGCCCAAACGAACAAACAAACTATCGACTAATCCACTTATCCACAATCCAATTCGCATTCTGTGTTTACTCATCAAATACGCTACTGACAAAGCCAGCAGTGTATTTCGACTTTTATTTTAAATACACATAGATGTCATTATATAAAGCGGGATTTTAATGTAGATTCTTTTATCTCACAAAAGAACGCACTGCATGTGTTACACGACCAATAATGTCAATACTAGTCACTCAATTTCAGAGGAATTACAGTATGTGTCGTACCTGTTCTCAGTAGAGTTTGGGACGTGGCGCGGTACACCCATCGTTATGCAAGTTCACAACACAACTGAGCCAGTGAGCCTCTCACGGCTACACATAACGGTGTGCAAAAGAATTAAGACACATTTTTCCTCAATGAGGCCGGCTCATTTCGTTTATAGGAAAGCCCACATCATTTGATGATATATCGTTCATCAACTCTTGCTTTCACTCTTTTTAAAGATGAACTCATAACTAGATTTATTACTTACCATTTCTTTCTTCATGTCCGTTCATCCGTTATGTTACCCCCTTAGGGGTTAATTGCCAAACCTTTGTTGCCCTTTTTTTGGCCTTATAACATAAAAGCATCAGCTGCCAAAATTTCAGCATTTTCTGCATTGATAATCAGGCTAATCAGGCAGTCAGAGCAAATAATTTATATGTGTACATAAAATCTTATGTAGACATCCTAAGTTAGAGAGAGGGCGCTAGTTGCCATGTTAACATCGGCTCCTAATTAAAAATTATATTAAAATACTTAGTCAGTGAGATATGGTGCGTAAATGTTAAATATCAGTGACTTAACATTCAAAAATCACCGTCTATTGTTAGTGAGCATATATATACAGTGCAAAAACAAAAACAAGTGAAAAATAATTTTGTCAATAAAAACAGTGTAACAGACTAAACAGTGAATTTAAAAGCTGAAAACATATAAAATAACATAGCAGAAACATCTCACGAAACCACAGAATCTTTTACAGTGGAAATACTAAACAAACTCTCTAAAACTAATTAAAGCGTAAGAGTGAAAAAAAAAGTCTGTTATCTTATTTGAATTTCTACCACAGAAATCACAAAAATTCATGCAAGCAGAGCCATCTATGACATAGATGCGCAACTACTACACTCCATCCTTAACAAATAAACCACCAGCACAACTGCGTAAATAATACCTATTTACGCCACTAGAGGGATCTGCAATTGCCAATATTCATCAACAAAACCTAGTACGACAAATATTTATCATCCACTATGCCTCAATGCGAAGGATGTAAATGTAATACTGGTAATTCAGAGTTCTTAAAATGCGCCTACTGCAATAAATATTACGATCTGCAATGCGCAAACATCCCTAAATACCACTTTAATAATACTATGTCAAATGAGCAAAAAAATATATGGAAATGCCAAGCTTGCATATGCAATATGCCAAAGGGAGACAACTCTAACACCCCAATAAAACCATACATACAACAACACATCTGCGATGATTCTATGAACGTTACAATAAGGCGAAGACCCACTCAGATTACACAAAACTACAAAAATGAAAATGATCAAACTTTAGACGACATAATTGGGAATACAATGAACCTAACTTCGGACAGTATTGTATTAGCTCCAAACGGCCCCGAATCCTTTAAAACTGAAGATTTAATGCTAGAAAAATTCAGCAAACTTTTAGATTCCAAACTCGAAAAAATGAAAATATCTCTTCTCGAAGATGTTAAAATTACGATTCAGACAGAAATGGACACTGCTTTATTAAAACTTCGAAACCAAGTAGAAAATACCACGACAACCCTAATAATAGAACAAGATAAAATAAAAGAAAAAATTTACTCAATTGACAAAAACATAGAACATATCGAACACCAATTACACCTTTTAAAAAATTCAAGAAAAATAGTACTTTATGGGCTGCCTGAACCGCACCACGAAACGGAACACACCCTTATAGACCGCATCTCTAGAGCCTTTCATGACATAATGAATGTTAACATTGATCCATACATAGAAGAGATAAGGCGTATTGGAAAGCGAGGAGGCCATAGACCCTTAGCTATAGAATTAACAAATAAGAGAATAACAAGATACGTGATGGAAAACTCTAACTGTTTTTGGAACTCAGGACTGGCTGTTGAGATGTTCATGGATAGAAAAACATTAATAAATCGCAACGAACTCCGGGAAAACCTGAGAATAGCTAGACAAAATGGTAACCATGCTATAATTAAAAATAACAAACTGTATATAAATGGTAAAGAGTACAAAAAAAGTTCCCCACAAACCACAGAAACGTCCCAGTCCCAGATACCAAATACCGAAAACAATAACTGCAGAACGAGTTTAGATAGCAACAACACTACAACCAACAAAATACAAACACCATCGCAGCCACAACCAGTAGCGCCAATGTCAACACAAGGGAAAACCACTCGTAACTATAATTTTCGATACTGAACTAAATGTTATCTTTCAGAATATACAAAGTATAGGCAATAAACTTCATCTAGTCGAGCACTTCCTACAAGACTTAAACATAGATATACTGCTATTGTCAGAAGTATGGAAAAATAAGAACTATTGTGATATGATTTCGTTGTCTGGATACAGAATGGCTTCCACCTTTTGTCGTAAAACGCATGAAGGGGGAGGTGTTTGTGCAATTATTAAGGATAGTTTAGAATATCTTGAGTGTCAAGATATAAACAATTATACTATAGAATTTATAATAGAATTTAGTGCCGTAGAAATACCGAAATTAAATTGTATTTTCATTGGTTTATACAGAGCAGACCGACACATTAATACATTTTTTGAACAGCTAGAGAAAGTGTTACATAAATTAAACACTAAATACAAAAATAAATATATTATATTGGGAGGTGACTTCAATATAAACATTTTGAACAAAAATAAACAGACGGAGAATCTTATCAACTTAATGTTTTCAAACAATCTCAAACAGATTATCAGAGAACCAACACGTGTATCAAAAGGCTCCTCAACCTGCATCGATCTACTCTTCACTAACCACATGCCCATTATTAATAAAGCCAGCGTCCAAGATTATGGTCTCTCTGATCATAAGGGTATTACACTAAAAATAAAATCGAAACACTCTTATCCTAATAATAACACAACCTGGTACTTACAGAAAAGACTATTCACAGAAAGGAACATATTACATTTTAACACTTCATTAAATGTGCCATTTTATGTCATTAAATGACATAAAATGGCACGAAATAATCAACACACACAACAATTTAAACACCAATTACGATTTATTTCTCAATATATTGACTAAATTACTTAATACACACATACCGATAAAAAAGCTGAAAATAAATAATAAACCAAAAAAAGAATGGCTCACTACCGGCCTTAGGAAATCATGTGCACACAAAAGAAAATTAAGGGCCTTTCTGAATGTGAATGATAATGATATTATACATAAATTTTATAAAAAGTATAGCCAAACCCTAAAGCGTAGTGTAAACATATCAAAAAAACTTGATTTTTGTAAACAAATGGAAAACTCCGATAATAAAACAAAAACAATGTGGAATATCATAAATCAAAAAACAGGTAAACAAAAAAAAAGACTCCCTCCACAAAATATATCATTAAAAATTAACAACCACATTGTAACATGTCCAACAACTATTTGCAACAATTTCAGTGAGTATTTTGCTACTGTGGGTATGGGCACGAATAACAATAAAACCAACAAAAACAGTGCGCTGGGTCGACCCGTCATAAACTCACAAATGTGCTCCATGTACTTGCGTCCTGTAGATAGAAAAGAAATAATCGACATAATACGCTCAATTAAAAATACACACAGCTGTGGCATAGATGAAATCCCCCCAATTCTATTGAAACAGTGTGCAGAAAAACTGTCAATACCGCTCACATTTTTAGTTAATCAAAGCCTTCAAGATGGCCAATTTCCAGACCCCCTAAAGATATCAATAATCAAACCGATACACAAAAAAGGCGACACCTACACACCTAGTCATTATAGGCCTATTGCTCTGTTACCCACATTTTCGAAAGTATTTGAAAAAAACAATGTGTAACAGATTATACGATTTTTTTAGAAAAATATAACATTCTCGATGATAGTCAAAATGGATTTAGAAAATCAAGATCAACTACACTAGCAGTATATAAGTATATCCAGACTACCATAAAACATATAAATGACAAAAAACATGTACTCGGAGTATTACTTGACATGACGAAAGCCTATGACAAAGTATTGTACGACATTCTTTTGAATAAACTAAGCGGTTCTGGTATTCGCGGCCCAGCTTACACATGGTTTCGATCATATTTAGAAAATAGATCACAAATGGTCCAAATTGACCATTTCGACCCCAATACGAATGAGGTTAAAATAGTCCGGTCTGAAAAAAGGAACATAAAGTGTTCAATCCCGCAGGGCAGCGTGTTGGGTTGTGTGCTATTTCTGATATACATCAACGACTTACCAAAAGTACTAAACAAGGAACATACATTACCTGTCCTATTTGCTGATGATATATCAATACTAATTACTTATGACAAAACCACAAAGCCGACACCACTACTTCAGGAAACTCTAGATACAGTAAATAACTGGCTCAACGACCATAACTTAGAAATTAACTATAACAAAACAAAAACTATCCAATTTAGAACATACAGAAACACCCCCGTAAACATCGACACAACATACAATGGCACACAACTAGAAACTGTAGATACATTCAAATTACTTGGTATAACTATAGACACACACATCAACTGGAAAGCACACATCGAACATACAAAAAATAAACTGTCTCGATTTACATATGCTCTATTCCAACTTAAATGCAGCACAAACGAAAAAACCGCACTGTCAGCATACTACGCATACGCATACTCCTGGTTACGATACGGCATTATGTTGTGGGGAAACAGTGTACACTTTCAGGATTTATTTATATTACAAAAGAAATGTATTAGAATTATCGGACAAATTGGAAATCGTGATAGTTGTAGGCCCTTCTTCATTAAATATAACATCCTCACACTACCATCATTATACATATTTGACATCTGCATATTTGTATCCAAGAACATGAGTCACTTCGCGAGAGTAAAAGACAATCACAATTTAAACACACGCCACAGAGACAGACTATACCTACCACCATCAAGAATTAAAATGCTACACCAGAGCCCTTACTACATGGCTGTAAAAATATACAACAAATTACCTATCCACATAAAAAATGAAACG